CCCATGTATATCAGAATTTACATAAAGATCCGTGATCTACACAGAAGAATGTTCAAACTATACACCCGGTTCGTCGGTTTCTTGTAATTTGCGTCAATCTCGGGACACGCGTCGAGGAAACAACCGGCAATTTCGATTACACGAAACAAATCGCCGAATTGCGCCCGTTCCGATCGTCGGACACGCTTTCTCCTTGCCAAAGTCGTGCTCCGACTTTACGCAAATCTCTAGATTCTGGCGTCTCTTGATTAGAGGCTATTAAGATACCCGGTAAACAAAAATTACCGGACGGAAACTACATGTGAGACTAGGTATCTATTGTTTGATGCTACAGGCTATCTTATCAATAACGTGCTCGCGGTGATTCCCTGTTTTCCAGAGTCCTGCTGTAGGAATGTTCATTTAAGGATGTCGTTACATATTTATTAATGTTTTAATAAATATTTTAAATGTAAACATAAATATAAATATAAATATAAATATTTTTTATTGGGGGAAAAAAGTAGCATGAGGTAGTCGGATATAGCATAAATACTGTAGTATCAATACTGGAATATTAACACTAATATTATTAATACTATAATATTAATATTACAGTCTTAATACTCTGGTAAATACTCTAGTACTAATACCGTAGTACCAATAGTACTCTGGTATCAATACCCGAGTTCCATTACCCCATTATTCAAGTAATTCACAATTCTATCCAAAATAATAAGAATAAAACTGTTTAGAAAATACATAATCATCGTTATTTTAATAAACAAAAAAGAACAACGAATTATTTGTGAACAAAATATTTCTATTCTTCTATAAAAACACAAACAGTAGAAACTCTAAAAGCCAATTATAAACTTTATAACATAATGCCTTATGAGACCCTGGGTTACCCAAGTATTTACTTAAGTACATACTCGGCCATCTCACAAAATACTCGGGTGATTTTGTTCTAACCGGGTGCTCTCGCGGGTAACTCGGGTATTTCGTAAGTCGCAGCTCCACTCGAGGCGACTTCACCGACAGAATCCCGCTCTGCGACTTTACGTAACCGGCCCGATATCCTGCGCCGCGAGTTCTGGCCTTTCGACGCGGTTTCCGCGGCGCGGGACGCGGATTTTTACCCGTTCCGTTTTGAAAGCAGGAACCCGACCGAACGACGTCGCGGAACTCCTTTCGATTTACGATCTTCGGATTATGCAGTGGAAATCGGTCGCGCTCGAGCGGAACCAGGGACCGAGTCCCGGTGAAATTTCATCCTGTCTCGGCGGATACCGCGGAACACCGAAGATTTTCCGGATCCACAGTCACATTATAGGAAATTCCTTTTCAAAATACGGTAATCAATCGTTTTTTGCAAGTACTATCCGCAAAATCTGCATTTAACGCGCTGACCTCCACAAGAACATTGAGCGTTACGCATAACGTTACTTATTCTTTTAGGCTGCTACAAAAGTTTCCGGAAACTGCAGGGAAAATCGCAAATAAGTTTGAACTAACGATTTTCTTGTTTTTCAAAATATTCATACATTTTCCATTGTATAAAAAACCGTCAAAACTTTTATATCGGTCCAATAAATTATTCTGGTTAGGGCGTGAACGATTAAACAAACACGTGGTAAGGTTTGTAGAAGCATATTCACGGAACTCGATAGTTAAAAATAAGACGCCACGCTCCCTATTTCATCGACCGCGGCCCGTTCTGCTCGAGATTTTTTCGCACGATAACGAAACGATCCGTAAGCAGCCGCTCGTGCTCCCACTACCTTAACAAATACCGGAAATTTGTGCAAGCACCTTAACGCTATCGAGCGAGAGATCGCATCGGTGGAACACACGAGGCCTCTCGATCCTCCCCCTCGATCCTTCGGCTCGTGGCGGCTGAACTTCATAAATAACTAACAAGGGAAGTTATCAAACCCGTAGATTCAAAAAGTTATGAAATTTTGTGTGTAAATAGAACACGTCAAGCCTGATAACATTAATAGAAAGCAATTAATTTTTTGGTGCCGAATTTCACCTTTTCAAAGTGCAACTCCTCCAAGTATATCCTAATTGTCTACTTTTAAACCTTCGATTTCCAAAATCTAAATGAACGAACATCAGTTTTAAGTCAATATTATTGAATAATTAGTTTTATTTATTTAACATAATTTAATTCAATTTATTTAACACAATCATTTTTCTAAGAACGATAGAACAAACTGTACAGTGAATGTCCATAAATCTAGTTTTAAAAATAAACTGGGTACATATTGGTGTGATTGCACCAAACTCGACCTAAGCATTTCTCAAATAAATGTTTATAAAATCCAATATACGTCAGATTGAAGTGTTCCGTAAGCCCAAGTATCCTTAATAAAATTTTAGTTTAAGATATCATTTTTCCTTTACATTAAACAAATTAAATTTTAAATAAGTTATTTTTAATAAATATTTATATTATATATGTAGTGTTAGTCGCTTACAAAAAGCGTCAAAATTTTTGCCTCGGTCCAATAGATGATTGGCTTGCGAAGTCAGGCAGAAAGAAGGGTTTTAGTTGACGACCAAGGACTATCAAGCCATTTATCTTGCTTGTAGGGTCGCGGACGTTACCGCGTCCTCCGTTACCTCGGGAATCCTTCCTGTTTCCCGGAAGGTAATAATGGGTTACGTAATCGGATGAATTGGAACGATAAAAAATTCATTATCGGGGGATTAAACGGCCTCGGTATGCGAACAGCGAGGCGGCGGAGCACCTTGGAATGTAATAACACGATGTAAACGTTGTCGGAGGATGTGAATGGAATTTTTCAACCGAGTAATTGTGAATAATAATGATTGCGCAACGATGAAACATTTTGATCATTATGCAAATGAAACTTTGAACAGCGATTTTGTAAATTGACTTGCCTGTATGATGAATCGGATTGCAAATTGATGTTTGAAATTGAAGATTTAAAGCTTGTCTCGACGGTTTCGAATAGAGGTAGTATTTTACAGTTTTTGTTATTTTCTAATGAAGAAAGTAAAGTGAAATTTTCATTCTTTTCTTTTTGTTTATTCAGTATATGTGCGCAGTCAGTATTCTTCTGTTTTGTAAGAAATTTAGTATTAGTAAGAGGTCTTAATTGAACGTAAACCGATTAATGGTGATTATTTCCCTAATATCACGGAGAAAGTGTCCAGAAAGTTATTCAACGGAGAGAATCACTACTACGGTCGGTAATTGATTTCATCAAGGTTTATGAAGAGATATTAATTTGTTTAATCGGGGATTATGTATACTACTACCGATTTTGAATCAACTTGATTCAATAAATTCTTAAATTTTCTTCAAATTGTAAAATTGTAAAATTCTGAAATTCTGAAATTCAAAAATTCGAAAATTCTTATTTACTTTTCATTACAATGTTTCAGTATTCTCATTCCTTTATTGTCAAAGGGAAGACGATCCGATTCGCATCGGTCTACCCTAAACCAAAAAGAAGTTTCGGCTCTTGCAGGCCGTCTTTCAAAACTGCTCGGCTATTAAATATGTTAAAGGCTAATTACATCATTTTGTAAAGACGTTTAAAGGCGTCCTCGGCCGTTAACGCGTTAACAATGGACGAGACGCAAGTGAAATATTCGCCGAACGATTGTACCGTTCCCCGTAAATTGGCAGAATCGTCGGTTAGGTGAATCAGCGATTACGAGTCATTCCTATGGCTGACGGCGAGCCGCATCGAAAAACCGCGGTGGGAAAAACTGGCGGGGATTGTTAGCCGAGCTGAGAGATCGTCGTGGGACATCGACGTGATTCATCAAGACGCGCTGGGACGATTTAATAGCGCGGTGACCTTCGGGACGGCCTTTGCGCAAGTGTCCTTCGACCTTGAAGGAATCCTCATCCGCAAAAGCTTCGACGCAACAAGAACACCGAACGAGCTACTTTTTGTTAAAGTGTCACGCGATTAAGTTTCATCGAGTAGTGGACGATACCACGCGCTGGAATGATGTTGCATTGATGCAGTGGAATCATGACAAAATACGAGAAATAATAATAACGTAAAGGGGATGAAGGAAGATTTAATAAATAGAAAATAAGAAAGATAAAGATTATAATGGAATATTCAGAAAAGTTAAAGTAATAACGAGTGCGGAAGGAACTATAATAATTCTTGAGAAGCTGTGAACTTTGATCGTTAAAAAGATTGAGTCAATAAGATTTGAACTTACCAGAAGTAAAATAGAATTGCGTTAAAACTTTGTCAAATACTAAACACTAAAAAATTTCAT